CTTTGCAAGCTCCAGTCCTAGATCAAACTTTAGGCTAGCCAAGTGTTCATTCTCTTTAGTTGTTACAGAAACCTCAGTATGTACAGTAAAAGAAAGCAGAGGATGTATGCTACTCCAGCAGCAACACAAATGGGCAAAATCAACGGACAGCACACAAATGGGTGATGACCGCGTCATGGCGGAAGGTAAAGTGGTTGGCGTTGAGCCAGGGAAAGGGGGAGGAGTAGGAGCGGAACACATCCATTACCGGCGCTACACAAGGGAGGCCAAACCACTGTTGTAGCCCCCATCTCCCCTCCCAGCCTGCCCACACAACACCCTCGATCCCAGATCTTGTACTTCATGAAGTTTCCAGACCCCTTATCAAGGGAAGACTGTGGCAGCCATGGTTTTCGCTTTCAATTAGATTTCATTGAAGTTCGCTGAATTTCATTAATTTCAGTAGACACTGAAATATTACGTTTCGGCCAAAATATTTCAGGAATTTCAATAGTACACAACAAATCAAATTTTTTTTTTAAAATTTCAAATACTTAATTAAACTCAAGTGAATATTTCGGCCCTTTGGCTGAAATGCAAACTGAAATCACTGGATTTCACTGATTTCGGTTGGTGCCAAAAATTTCTGGAAGCTGGAATTGAAAACCATGGTGGCAGCCACTCAATTTCTATCTACCAGTTTAGTAAGTGAAACCCGTTGTGAAATGTTAGAGAAAAGCTTTCGTCAAACAGATTCAGGGTATCGTACGTAGAACATCGATTGGGAGCTTCAAACGATCACTAGAATGAAGCTTTGAGACGCCTTCACTTGATTTGAGGATGAGCCCATTGGACTCGGGCGATCTAAGCGGCCCGTACGTGGAGCTCATGATTGTGGACGACCCTTGCATGCATTTCGCCCCCCTGAAAAAAGTGTAGCCAAAGCAAACCACGACTTTCGACTCCACCCCCCTCGCCCGATCCTCCCCGGTAGAACCTCGTCTCCCAGTCCTCTGCGTAGTAGTCCAATCCCGCGACAAACAAGCGTACAAAACATACCGTCATCTTGCATGAGTGGGCTGCCTATGATATCCAGCCAAGACCAAGCCACCAGTGCGGAGCTTCATGTGGGCCAAGGGGGCCATTGCCTTTGTCAGACATGTACTCCCTCCGTTCCTAAATACTTGTCTTTCTAGAGATTTCAACAAGTAACTACATACGGCGCAAAATGAGTGAATCTACACTTTAAAATATGTCTACATACATCCGTATGTTGAGTCTATTTGAAATGTCTAGAAAGACAAGTATTTGGGAACGGAGGGAGTACCAGGTAGGTAGCACCCGTTAATCAGGCTTGACCAGGAAAAAGAGGGGCATTGTCAGTTGAGCCGGCTCGACCAGGTAGCACCCGTCGATCTGGGGATGACATTGATCTGCGGGATGGCGAGACCCTGCACCTTGGGCTTGAGGTAGTGCTTGATGAGCTCTTCGTCCGTAGGGTGGAAGCGAAAGCCTGGCGGGAAGGCCCAAACGGCGTCCATGGACTCGAGGGCTTGATGTACTCGAGGGACGATGGGGAGACGATGGGTAGGTAGTGAGGAGACGATCGAGCCGGCTGCTCCAGAGCCTTGTTTATATAGTCGATCGACGTGCAATTATGAGGCCGCTTCCTTGTTTGGTTTGCTTTGCGCCGGTAACTAAGTCGCCCCGCCCCCACCTAAATCAATCTTGTTAAATAGGAGTTAGGCACCACCCCGAAAATAGCTACCACAGGGGAGGCCCATAGCTAGACAAGAATTCAATGACCAATGGGATCAATCAAATGCTTGCTAAACAAACACCGCCGGCAGATTTATTTTGTAGTAGTAATGCACATCAGATAGGAAGAAGACGATCTTTCCTAGAGTTTCTCTTGCCAACCAGACAGAGCAAAGAATTTGCCGCGGCAGAGAGGCAATGCACGCCACCAGCACATACGTACAGACAGTGATGAAGAATCATCATTTGAGTTGCATCCACCAATCCGAAAACAATATACTGGACCTCTGCCTGCTCATTGTCCAAAGAACCAATCTCGATCGCCAACACAGACAGACTCTTGAGATTCAACTTTGTGCTGCAGACTGAAATAATCATCGGAGGCGTCGAAATCTGAGCCCTACAAAACTGCTACACTGACTTGTACTAGCTTGTATTCAGAAGCCTGTTACCGTTCAGCAGTGTCCTAGTTCCTTGTGAAATGATCTGTCCTGCGCAGCTTCTCATATCAAAGCAAAGCAGCCTCAAGCCTGATGTCCAAGCAAAGCCGTTTCTTCCTTGTTTCGCGGCATTGCTAGTATGGATCGGACCGATTCGAGAATAAAAGAAAGAAGTTTCTGTTATAACCAATGGTTATAACCCTATATAAAGCCCTCGACTAGACATGAGTACATGACCCTCCTGGCCTAAACGTAAATCACATAAACGATTTTGAGAAGCTTGTCTCGACGGCTTTTGGAGTTTCAAATTTGTTTGAAAAACATTCTACACATTCATATGGATGTATTCAGCATGTGTATAAGGTCTGACGATGAAATACATTATAATAAGAGCTACACAAAAAAGAAAAAGAAAATTCCTGCATTCCTAATAATGAACAGCGTTTGTACTCTTCATAGGTTTCAAAATCACGATTTTGACTTTTTTGTTAGGATCTAAACGCTCTTATATTTCTTTATGGAGGTAGCACATTCATATGAACATGTATGAATTTTTTTCAGAATCTTTTGAAACTTCAAAAATATGAAAAAAAAATTCAAAAAAAGACCTCCATGAAGGTCGCCCGCCATTGGCATTTTTCACCAGTTCAAACTGGTTTTTGCCATTTGTGGCTTATAAACCCTCAAAAACTTAAGTGTTGAATAAACCCCTCAAAAACATTGAACTGGTTTAGAAGCTTTCGTGTGACTTTTTCCTCTTTTGTGTGTCCGTTTATTGGAACGTTATCATCGGTTATTTATGGTTTTCCTCTTTTCTATATTTCATTTTTTGTTTCATTTTTCAAATACATACAGACTTTTCCAAATGCATGTTCAAAAAAATTCATAAGTGTTTTCAGATACACGTTGAACATTTGTCAAATGCACGCCGAATTGTTTTTATGCATGATGAACATTTTTACACACATTGAACATTTTCTTAAAACATAAAATATATTTGGTACGTGTTAGTACAGTTTTTTAAATGTTAAGATACGTTTTTGAATGACACAAAAATAAGACGATCATTTTTTTTGAAATTTAAAATTGTTTATAAAAATGTTAGAAACATATTTTTGAAACTTGTAAATTTTTAATGTAATAATCGTTTTTCTAAATTACGCACACATTTTTTATATTGTAGAATTGGTTTCTAAAATTTCACAAACATATTTTTGTAACACATGACATTTGTTTTGGAACGGTATGAAACGTATTGGAAAATTACACCAATATTTTTTAAATGCCATGACCATATATTTTGAAATGCATGAACTTTTTTAAATGCTCGATAAAGGCTTTTAAAAATTTAAGCATATTATTTTTTGAACATAGATAGCAAGCTTTAGGAGAAGGAGCTCTGTCCCTAAGGAGGAGGTTGATGTGGATGCGTTAGGAGAAGTGGAGGTGAGCGGGAGCGGGCGAACACTGCACAAGGGGAAAGACAAGGGGTGGCCGTCGACGCCGGGCGGTGGAAGGGGAATGGGGAGAGGGAGAGCCGGGATAGCTACTGCCCACACAGATGCCCGTTGAGCTCTGCTGCTGCTGATGAGCCAGGAAAGCGTCCCAACCAATTATTGTGTAAGCAACGGATGGGAGGACAATAAATAAAATGCATATAAACAAATGAAGTTAGGGACAAAAAGGCACTACAGCTCACCTGCCTCTCGACTCAAAGTGCAGCAACTTTCTTTCTGTCAGCTCCATCCGCTCTGAAAGCTCAAAAAACAAAATTTGCAGTAGCTTGAAACAATCACAGGGCAAACCAAACACAAAAGATTAACATCTGCAAAACAAATTGTCCACGCTTCCGAATAAGTAGTTCAGGCAAGCACACTTAGTAGCTCTGCTGCAAACTGCAACAGCAAACGACCTAATTACTATACTCTTTACTTCTGAAACCTGAAACCATTTGCCTGCCTCTTCACTGTACGTACAAACTAATTAAGATGCACCATAACGCACAAGTGCATACATATACCACATGTCTTACACAGCGACTCTCTGTCGTTTCATAAGTTATTACAGCAAGTCTACGGTTGTGTAAACCATATACTCCCTCCGTTCTAAAATAGATGACTCAACTTTGTACTAACTTTAGTACAAAGTTGAGTCATCTATTTTGGAACAGAGGGAGTAGTTATCAGAACAAATATGGGAAATGATTGATGGAATAAAACTGTAAAAAAAGTAAGTAGAAACAACCACGGGTCCACAGCGATACAGATAGAGACGGCGAAACAATGGCATGATATCTTGTTGTCCTCATGTCTTCCAACTTCCAAGTAATGCAGCTATACGTTCCTTGAAGAAGAAAACACAATCAGTATAGCAAATTTGGCCAAATAAAACAAACAAGAGTTTCGACTTAAAGCACACAATGCGGCAGCACACGTATGGACAAGTTTTGTTTAAAATGTCGCCCTATACTGGAATTTCTTTATGGAAATGATTAACAGATCCAGATATCTATACGAACTAGATATTGGAACTAACAAACAGAAACAAGACAAATAAAGAATGTAGGTGTCATCACTGCCTAATGCACGAGTAATTTACAGTATGTACGGAATTTCGAGCAACATAGACATAAAAGCTGGACAGGAAACAAGCGTTAGCACAAATACCTTAGACCGATCTTCCATTGATCTCACCCACTTCCTCTAACTTTGGACACCCGGCTATTTCAACCTTGATATGTGATGGCAAGACCAGCCCTCTTTGCCAGTTGAGACTTGGGCAGTTACAAATCCTCAGATTCTTCAGTAAGGAAAACTCACAAACCTTTCAACTGGCAGGGACAGTAACTCGTAAGAAAATCCAACGTCAATTCTCTCAATAGCAGGTAGGTATTCTTGTGTTAGGATGCCATCAAGGGTCAATAATTTCTCACACCATGTAACTTCTAGGAAAGTAAGGGATGAGAGTGCTCTAATGTTGCCAGTGCCCGTAGAAATGGAAAGACTAGGGGAGCCTCCAATAGATGTAAGAGATTTGCACTCAATTTCCAATCTCTTTAAAGCTGGAAGACTCCACGTTTGTAGTTGTATGGACGTGGCAAAGTCGCATTGACAATGAAAGGAGGTGAGGGAGCAGCAGTCAATATTGCAAAAGATACTAGAACGCAACAAATTGAGCTCCTTGAGGGACGGCGAAACCAGTCTTTGGAGGCGCATGTTTGGACAATCAGCTATGCGCAGTTCTTCAAGGAAATGAAAACCCCCAAAAAATTCAGTTGGTACAGATGCTAACATCTTGCAATCTTTAATTTCAATGTTCTTGATGCCAGGTAGATAACTTGGTTGCAGAAAATCTTCTAGGCTTGATAAATTTTCACACTTCTCAATGGTTATGTTTGTCAAGGACAAGAACGTACCAATTGCATGTGTCTCATTTAGGTTTATGGTCTGTGAGATCATGGGAAATGATATGCTCTTCATCCCAACAAAACCTTCAAAACCAAGTGATGTTAAACTTGGCAAGTTTTGTGGTTGAAACCAGCTTGGGAGCGAGACACCAACATAATTCTTGACGAAGAGACCCTTTAGGCTGATAGGAGGTTGCAGACCTTCAAGCACTTCTGTATCATTGTTGTGGATATAAAACTCAGCGGAGCGTAAAGCAACTCGCATATTCAATATCAACCTCTCAAGACATTTCTTATCTTTCAGTTTAGCTTCTGCTGCATGGTCCTCACTTAGGATGCCAAGATTATTTATCACCAAGTATTCACGAATTTGATTCAGATTCTTTATTGACATAATTCCTAGTCCCTCTTGATTGGCTGCATCAATAGTTAATCCGTTTGATCCAATTTTTTGTAAACTGGTCAACTTATCAAAGTCAGTGGGTAAGCTTTGTATCTTGCATTTCTTGGCATATAAAATCTGCATATTATATAGCCAACAGAATGAAGAAGGAATCCTCTTCAAATTACAGGTTCCGGAGATTTCAAGGTACCGAAGATGCTTCCAATTACCAATACTATCTGGTAATTCATTTGTGAAGGCACAAGACATCACACGCATACGTGTAAGTTTAGTACACCAGTGGTCCATTACAAAGCATGTTCCTTTCCCCAAATTAATCTTGCAAATTAGGGTGCGCAGCTTCGTGTACTTGCATAGTCTCAACAAGTTGGAATCATCAAATTCACTGCTAGGGAGTATGTATAGATGGCGAACATTCTGGGGAACTTTATCAAAGTCACTCTTATTTCGTAAGATGAAGCAGTCATGCTCTGAAACTTTTTGTGCCATGTCATGCAGCAAGTCATGGATTACATATCGACCATTAACCTTTTGAAAGAAGGACCGAGACACAAGGTCTTCAAAATACTGATAGCAAATATCTTGAATGGGAACACCACCTTGAGGCTCGACAAAGCCTTCTGCTACCCAAATTTCAGCTAAGCATGCCTTCTCAAATTTGTAATCTTTGGGATACAAGGCGCAGAATGCAAAGCATTGTTTCAAATAGAATGGTAAATACATGTAGCTCAACCGAAGGGCAGGCAAAATCTCGGTTTCCTTTTGTTTCAACTCCCACAGTTCACTCTCAAGTATGGAACTCCAATGCGATGCTTGAAGGTCCATGCTTAACATGCGCCCTAGAGTTTTGGCGGCCAAAGGAGAACCCTTCAATTTAGGAAGTATTCTTCTTCCAATACATTCTAACTCAGGATCATTGCTAGAACCCTCAGATCCAAATGCGCATAACTTGAAGAAATTCCAAAAGACATCGTCCTTTAAACCTTCAACTATAACAGGCTCCATTGTGTGCACCGCCTTGGTAACATTTGGACATCTAGTGGTGACTAACATCGCACTTCCCTCTTGGACACTTGTAAAAGGTGCACAAAACATCTCCCAACACCGTCCATTATCCTTCAAAGCATCATCCCACACATCATCAAGGACTATCAATAACCTTTTGTTTTTCACGTGGTTATAAAGAGCACGTTGAAGAGAATCCAAATGATCAATCTTTGCCCCCTTTCCAGTAGATGATTCTATGACCTCTTTAGTTAACCTCTTCTCATTGAAGTCATGTGAGACACAAATCCGAATTATTAGCTCGAAGTGAGACTTCACTCGTTGATGGTTGCAGATATGTTGGGCCAAAGTAGTCTTTCCAACGCCACCAATTCCAGCTACCACCAAAACAGGAAGACTTGATATTTTTGGTTCAGCATTAACATGGTTGCTTGATGATGTGCTTGTTGATGCACTGATTGAACTAGTTGCCCTTTTGCGTTTTGGACGTGTGGGTACATTAAGAAACCCCAATACCTGTTTCAACTCCTTCTCACGACCAAATATCTTTGTTTCCTTTGACAACAAAGAGGTGGTCACGGGCCTGACTGATTTCGCAAATCGATGTGTAACTTTACGAAGCCCCATAGCCTTCATCTCACTCGAAAGGTAATTCAACCTCAACTGGACATCATTCAACTTGTTGAAGTTACCATGAATGACCTTATCAAGGAAGTCATTGAAAGGAGATTGGATTGCATTGCCTTCCACTTGCACCTTCATCTCATGCCATCTGAACTCATCAATAAGGTCCTCGGCCTCAGACACAGCATCCTTGAGACTCGGAAGGAGCTTGGCCACATGGTCTTCATAGCTTCTCCACTCTGCTCCATTAATGAGGTGATACATTGCAGGAAGAGTGTCACAGAGACGTTGTAGATCACTCTGTAATTGCAATACACGATCATGGAGACTTTGCTCTTGTGAGCCACTCCATCGGGAGCGCAAAGATGAAATGGCAGATTTGGCTGACAGAAATAAACTGACACACTCATTGATGGCACTGATGATCCTGGTGGCAGACAAGCTCATGGTTGCAGGAGCGCAGAGATGGAATCTGTCTTCGTCCTGTGAGCAAAGAGTGGACAGAATAAGGATTGTGGAAGTAATTTTTTCAGTCAGAATATACCACAAGCTGGCTATTGTAGTGATTATTTTGTCCAGATCCATTTCAATGGATACATCAGCAAGAAAGCAAGTTAGAGAAACATCATGAATGTTCTCTGGCACTTGCGGTGCCAATAAAATCATTAAGTTTCAATATGTCTTTGCAATTATTTGCAAACATTTTGTGCTTTGACTAGAAATCATGTACGTGGAATGCATGGTATACTCAATATATATGGATGTCGTGATGTGAAATACACACCGCATGTTATCTTCTTCTGACTCGTCATACCTTCACAAGACAGAGAGTTCTGCTTGCCCGCCCATACTTGTCCCTTCCCTGGCTAACTGAAATTTCTCTCGGATTTTATTCTCTGAAAACTGGTTTGTTCAGAGCAAAAAATAGGTTGGTGGTTCAGAACTGACATAGCTTGCTCAAATTTTCCTTGAATTTTCTTCTTCAAAAACTGGTTTGTTCAGAGCTAAAATATGAGTGGAACGCAAAAGAAGAAATGAAGAAAGTAAAGGTTCTAGCTCACCTGGATCGGCGCGGCTTGCCGTCGACAAGCGACTCCTTCAAATGCGCAGGAGCAGCAGCAGCAGTACCGCCAGGAGGATAGAAATCTTGGATGGGTCAGAATGTGAGGACGAGCCTAATTAGAGTCTCCTCGAAAGTGTCAACCTTCACGTACATAGAAATTGTGGGCGGAACCACCAACCACTGTGGCTTTGTTGGCTTCTCCTTGGCGAGAACGCCCATGTGAGGTGCTTTGTCATTGTCATCATCGTATAATAGTACAATTTTGATGCTAGCTGCTCCTTGTTGCATATATTTTCTTAAATTGTAGTACTATTTTTCCCCAAGTTGGACATGGTGGTGGAAACGAATGAATTCAATACGGAACGAGCCGAGCACCAACATCCTCGATCACGAATATATTGCATGCGTGAAAACGAAACAAAGTACTTCCACGTGTGCGAGCGGTGAAACGTCTTACCCTGTTGGGGGAGACATGTCCATGTTATATAGTAGGGGAGCCAAAACCCTAGATGGCTTTACATGCGTGCAGTTACAAGAGATAAGAGAGAATCAAGATACAACTTGAGGGAGAAGAAAAAGGAGAGGAGATATATCTCATACAAACTACCTCCTAGCCATATCTCTATATCCCAACCATATACCGCACATGTGATGTTTAACACTCCCCCTTAATCACAACTTCATCAAGTTAAGATTATGTTTAAACTCTTCAAAGCTTCTGATAGGTAGGGCTTTAGTAAACCCATCTGCAACTTGATCTCTGGACTGAATGAACCGAATATCAAGTTGTTTCCGTGCAACTCTTTCTCTGACAAAGTGAAAATCTATCTCTATGTGCTTTGTTCTGGCATGAAAAACTGGATTTGCAGACAAGTAGGTAGCACCAAGATTATCACACCATAAGCATGGAGCTTGAGAACTTTGTATACCAAGTTCTTTCAGCATTGATTGAACCCATATGATTTCAGCTATGGCATTCGCCAATGCCTTGTACTCTGCCTCTGCACACCCTGAAATCAAGTTTGGTCCAAAGAATATTGCAAATCCGCCATTGAAGCGCCTGTCATCCAGACAACCTGCCTAGTCAGAATCAGAGAAAGCACTGACAAGAGTTGAGGATGACTTGCTGAAATTGAGACCAATGTTCAAAGTGTGTTTGATATATCTAACAATGCGTTTTGCAGCAGTCCAATGCACATTAGTAGGAGCATGCAGAAATTGACACACCTTGTTGACAGCAAAGGAAATATCAGGCCTTGTTAGGGTCAAGTACTGTAGTCCACCTACTAAACTCCTGTATTTCGTACTGTCCTCTTGATTCAAGAGTTGCCCTTCTGTGAGAGATAGTTTTTCTGAGCTGGATAAAGGAGTAAAGGATGGTTTACAACCTTGCAGACCTGCCTTTTTTACAAAGTCAGTTGCATATTTCTCTTTAGAGAGATGAAGCCCATCCTTGTGTTTCTTCACTTCAATCCCAAGGAAAAAATGCAAATCTTCAAGATCTTTGAGAGAAAATTCTGCACTTAAATCCTTCAACAATGATGCAATGGCCTCACTAGATGAACTTGTAACAATGATATCATCAACGTATATGAGAACAAATATGCATGTATTGAGTTTATTGTAGATGAACAGTGAGGTATCTGACTTGGAAGGAACAAAACCAAGTGATTGCATCTTGTGACTAATACGGGATAACCATGCTCGTGGGGCTTGCTTCAAGCCATAAAGTGCTTTATCAAGTTTGCAAACAAATGAAGGATTAGATTTGCTCTCAAACCCAGGAGGTTGTTTCATGTACACCTCTTCTTCTAGAACACCATGGAGAAATGCGTTCTGTACATCTAGCTATCTGAGACTCCATCCCCTATACACAACAATAGAGAGAACAAGTCGAATAGTAGCAGCTTTCACAACAGGAGTGAAGGTATCCTCATAATCAATACCATATCTCTGTTTAAATCCTTTTGCAACAAGCCTAGCTTTGTATCTATCAACAGTTCCATCAGATTTCCTTTTAACTCTGAACACCCACTTGCAATCTATAAGATTTTTACCTTGCCGTGGGGGAACCAGATGCCATGTTTTATTTTTCTTCAGTGCCACATATTCTTCCATCATTGCTTTTCTCCACCTTTCATCTCCAAGTGCCTCATCCAGAGTTCTTGGCCATGCTTGTTCCTTTGTAGAGCAAACTAGGCCATATTTACTTATATGTTTATAATTAAGAGGTCGAGTTACACCTTTTTGCAACCGTGTGAGCCGCCGAGGATGCACCACAGAATCAGCCGGTGCAGAGGATCCGGAGCCATGCACAGGAGTTGCTGGTGTAGGCGATCCCGAGGAGGATCCGCTCGGTACCCGCGCCGGATCTTCTGTGTCTCCAGCATGCAGTGAGGAGGTTGGATCTGCCGCAGAGGATCCTGGGTGGCCTGCCGGCTCATCATGGGCGCATGATTGCGTGGGGCCATGCGGATCAGCCCCGAAGCCCGCACCCACCTGGCTGGATAGGTCAGCGCTGGACCCCGCGTCGGTCGGCCGCGCCTGGGCGCGCCGCTTGTAGCAGCGCGGTTTGTCGCGAAACCGCGGACCGCCCGAGCCACCAGGATGTTGCCACGTGGAGGCTGGCGATTGGAGCAGAGCTGGCGCGGGGCTGCCGCCACCCGAGGGCTGGCGCGTGGCGTGCGCGGAGCCGCGGAAACCTGCGCGGG